TGTCTAATGCCTAATGTCTATATTTCAAGTCTTCCTGTAGCTAATTTCTTTTCTCACTTGCTTAGGTTTAGTGAGTTTGACAGAGCACTGAATTAGTGAATGATCAGATATGTTTGCCAGTAACATCAACGACATCTGAAATATCACAACTATCCTTGGTTATGACTAGGTCTAGTGTATGACCTGATCGATGAGTTGGACCAGACATGTGCTGTAGGAGACTGATAGACACACAGAATCGACATGGATACTGAAATCCACCATTAGAAAAAGATGACCAGGTTCAAGGGCAATTTTGCCAAGGCTGGGCTAACAGAAACACTTACCACGATTTTGGTCGCTGAAATTTTGCCAAGAAAACCCTTTCCAGCTGTGTTAGTGGAGGTAGCAATCAATACCAATCTACTGCGAGTTATATACCACCCCATCATCTTAATGTATGTAATTGTCTAACAAACATTTCCTTACCTAGCTCTCCTCGGAACATTCTTGCATCATCGATTTATGTGTTTTATTCACTAAATATCAAGAAATAAAAGATGTGTTGCAAAAACATAGTTTTGTTTCGTTTTTCACGATGATCCTGGAACCGTTCAAGATATCACTATGAAATTTTGGATTTTTCTTACACCACTATCAGATTGTCCTGAAATTTGAAGTGTTTCTGACAATGGGATCTAGTACCAGTATGATAAAGGTTAAAAACTGAAATGAATTTGCTCAAATCTTCTTTCAAAATGATGTGTCCTTTGGTTTAAACAATATTCTACTATAGCTTGTTACTACATAGTTTCGTAGCAAGGCAGGACAGATTAAAAAACAACAAAAAGATTTCACAGTTCAACATTTTCTCTATATTTGTATAATAAATGTTGATGTAACACTTACCCAACACCCCTCCAAACCAACATGGTACAATCCCAAACATATGACAGGTGATACCATACTTGATCATGGGGGGTGAGGTTGTGAACACAATGTTGTTGTACCAAGTTTGACATTCACATATAAACACATTCTGTCAACAACAAAGTTTTGTTGAAATTCATGAAACAAAGTGCTTTGTCAGCATAAACCTTTCCAGGACTGCTCTCCAAACTGAAAATACACACAAACGATCAATTCCTTTTCTGACAATAGTAACAGTGGTCCACATTATAGAATCCCATCCTTGTAAAGATATCCAGTCAAAGAATGAACACAAATCCACCTGTTTGTAGTTAGCAAGTAAACATACTTACCCTGAAAATATATTTTTGTCAAAAAAACAAACAAACATTTCTTTTAAAAACAAAAACAAATAGGACTAGATAAAATGCATTTATACCTTATTCTCTATGCCTCACTTAGGCAAACTTTTATTATCTCAGTTATTGGATTTGAGCTATCAGATACAAAGCCTTAATCAGGAGAACAAATAAAATAGTTCCTCATATTTTCATTTAACTTCTGATTTCCTGGATTAGAAAATAAAAAAGATACAACTTACAAAATCAAAGTAGCTACCTTTTAATAACAAATGGTCAAATGCATTTTCTCAAGTCAGAAGGTCAGGCTTTAATAAAAATTGGATTTTGAACAACAATGAAAATAAATTGAAATAAATGATAAGCATTGCACCATAAGCTGTATCATCATTTACTTCCCCAAACCGAATTTTCCCACAAACCTTGAAAATGAAATAAATCAGGTGATTAAATTGATTTGTATTTCAACTGACCAAGGCTAATTTGTCAACAGAATCCAATATTTCAGATATGTCAAGGTCAGTTAGCCTGGCGTGGGAAGATAGCCTAAATGCAGGTCTTAGATATTTACCACAGGATTAGTGCTGACAAACCAAGGATCATAATCTGGTTATCAAACACATGATGAGCGGATCCTGGCAGGACTAAGGGAAGCAACTTCACCCTTGAGGGGGAAGCACACTTACAGAAACGGTTCCTATGTCGTGTTACAGGCAATGAACCTTTCACTATCATATTTTGTTTCTCAAGATATTTCATCTAATACTTTTCTTCTACAGAAGTCTGTCATTGGCATTCCATTTGAACAGTTTTACAAAGTCTGAGCAGTTTACATGAAAAAAACTGACCACACAAGACCACAATAAATTCATTAGATTTTCATCCAAAATCTTCCTAACAAAGTAATAGCTGATTCATTTGATTATATATTTTATTACTTAAGAAAAGGGAGCACTGATGCTGGCTTGGGATGTCATCATTTGTTGTGTTATTGATACATTCTGATTGTTGATGTATCAATACAAACTGGTATCCCCTGCCTTGTCATTGGTCTTGTCAACAATGATTATCTTGATAAACAGAAACATTTCTGTGGCAGGGAATTACACAATATAATATTGATATTCATAACTGTTAACACTTACTGGATCAGCCCAGTTCATATTTAGACATTAATTTATGAGTGTCATGAGTAATTTTCAACTCATAATTTCAATAAATAATTTCATTATCAACAAACATAAATGTCTTGTAATACTTTTGAGTCAAAGTACTGACACCAAATTTCCAACTGACAACCCTTACTATTAGCAATTTTCTTTGTGGGTATTTGTTTGGGGACTAAAGATTTCAGATAGATGAAAATGTACTAATTAATTTATTGAGGCCTTATATGACTTTAATATATAGTTTTGCCGGACAAAGTTTTAACATCAAACAAGACTGAATTTACATACATTTGCATTTGCATGGTTGCAGTTCCCAAAGTGAACAAGCTTGAAAGCAAAATAATGTCACAACTTGGCTGTAAAGTTTGGATACATTAATCCAAGATATGCAAGTTATTTATCAATATATAAAAATAGCAGTTATTTCAAAATATGCTTTTATATCACTTTCACTATTGAAATGCCCCCATACGAGAGGCTGACTTGACAACATAACACATGGAGAAGAAGCCTTTAACAGCAGTAACACGACACACTTGGCTGAAACAGTAGCGGACACAAGAAGTATTGGCAGTACATGATCAACTGAAGTATAGAAAAACAACAAATAGTCTTACCCTAGCAACCAAGACCCATTCAACAAAGTGATCTTAGTGAGATCTTAGATCTTATCGTAAGTAAAGTATCGAAAGTACCCCATTGTAAAGTACTGTATGAGAATTACAGTCGGCTTAGCGTTACGATCACTTAGTGGGTACCTGGATGTATGTATGTACATACCTTGTTATGTAAACAACAAAAATGTTACAAACAACTTAGGATCATACCATCATAAATACTTTAATTACCCACACCTTAAAGAGATGAGTTTTAATGCAACACAAAGTTTAACTTGTTTGTTCCCCTGACGAAGCCTGCTGACACATCAAGACCAGATAATCCTTCAGTTCAATATACATCTGGGAAAATTGTTAAACACTACTCTTTCTTTTTAATGACATATTTCAATTTTTACAAATTTCAAATATCCTCATATGCTGATTCCATTTTGACAAAATTCTTGATCAGTTGGAACCAAAACACTTCATGTTTAACTACTTTAAATGGCATTTAGAAGTTGGTACCATGAACAAGGGAGATAATTCTATGGCTGTACAACTTCTTCAATAGAATGAGTAGGCATTGATGTTGGTGTTAGTCTACTAGGAGTGGGTATTGCAGAGAATTTTCATATTGAGATATATGTATATTGCAATGCGAAAGCATATATTATGATATGTATTGCAATATATTGCAAGAAGTATTTTTAAACAAAAAACTACATATAATCGAGTTAATGCTTGATTTATAAAGCAAAAACACAACAAAATAACTAATTTAACAAGAACCTTTAATTGTAAAATAGAAATGTAGTTTTATATCAAACAAGGAAATATCCAAGATTTCCGAGTGTTCGCGCCTCCGCATCGCACACGTATCGCTTTCATTTCTGAACTGGTAAATAACGTTATATTATATAGTCCCCTTAATAAGCAGTCAATAACTCCCTAGTTCATGATAAATGCCCTTTATCACTTGTTTGATAACACTGTTAATATCAAAATGAAACTTTGCACCCATTGTAATAAAAAATTGTATTTATATGTAGAAGTTAAATACTTTGAGATATCCATGGTTCCATGCAACTGCAAAATGATGACTACATGAATATCCAGGTACCGGGCATTTACTTTAAGACAACTGAAAGTTCGACAAAATAGTGTTTGGATGCATATCCAGAGTGTGCTACTCAATAGTGTTTGGATGGAGCAGTTTACATGAGATAATCAGTTTCTATTTCAAGAGTAGTCAGAGAAAACATACATAAATGTGTCCTGTTGAGAAAATAGATTAAACAATTAATAAACTCAGAATTTTTGAAGATATATACTGAGGGAAACAAATAAGAGAACTCCACTTCATGACAGTGTTCCTTTATATATTCTCAGATTTCTTCCCACACTGCCATTCAAAGCTGGTGATGAAAACTGGAAAATATTAATGGAGCACTTGAATTTTCCTGTGTTCCTTTATTTGTGTCTCTCAGTATATATAGCAAGCAATGTCTAACTTTTTCCCAGTGTATATAGCCTTCCTAATGTAAATTTGAAACTAATATGTTTTAGGGGATAATCAAGACTGGCTGTTTTCATCCAATGACATTTAATATTTCCATCAATATGGGATGCATAATTTGAAAACATTGCTGAAATTTGTAATAAATATAAATAATGGATACTAAGCACTGAGGTTACTTTGTACCGTTGGTAGATAAAAGATGTTTTCAAGAGAACATTCTGTCACTTATTCAATTTCACCTAACAGGTGTGCAGAGTTGGTTACATATATGAAGGACCAAATCTGGGTCTGAGGCCTGACAAGACAACACCTCAACCAATGGGCTACCCTATCACCCCTTAAGTTCACACACGGGCAGTGCTTGTATAGAATTAAAACTCCTAATTGCTTAAGTATTGCACAGTCCTTAAATGCTTGTCTTCTATTGAATGTAATACATCAAATTTCTAATGAACTGACTGTTTTCAGAAAATGGAAAATATAGTTCCAGTGTTACCTCTTTCATTTAAGAAAGAGGTAACATATGAATACTGGAAGCACAGACACCACTGACCAAACTGACCTACATAATTTACTTAACCTGTCATGAAACACACTGTCAGTGCGTCACTGGTTCAAACACACTATGTTCCCCCACTACCTGAGAAAACACACAGACATACATTATTATAGTGATGTATGTCAATTTTTTGTAAGGTTTTGAAATGAGGCTGAGTGTGGGCTGGAGTCAGGTACATAAACTTAGTAGGAACCAATGCCTGATAATGAAGCAATGTTTTGAGTATTTGATCAGAAAACTGTGACACATATAGCATGCTCCCTAAGGAGGTTCCTAGTCAGCATGCTGTACAGATTGTAAGAGGGAACAAAATGGGTCATCAGGTCATTGTACCATTACACCTTGGTTAGTGTTTACACTCTTCATCACTGGATTGTTTGGTTGAGATTTCATTGTTTACAGCCCACTGTCACATACCTCGCTTTCAACAAAACAAAATATTTTGCACAAGACTGACTAGTAGCGGGGGACACCAGAAATGGGCTTCACACACATTGTACCCATGTGGGGAATCAAACCTGGGTCTTCGGTGTGACATGCGAACGCATTAACCACTAGGCTACCCCACCGCCCTTGTTGCACAAGAGATATTACCTGTGTTATGTAAATGTTGACTGGTTCTAATATACTCATTAGTTTCTCTCTTCCTAGAACCAGGCCATTGCTTCATTTGGTAGTAAAAGGTCACAGCCTTGAAATGTGGTCGTATGTATTCACAGGTGATGAAGTAAGGTACTGTGTACAAACAAACGTGTACTGTCACAGAGTTCAAAGCCAGGAAAATATCCCTCTGATATGGACAAACACGCTTCACCTTATTTTTTTAACAAAAAAGTATTCCTTTGAGAAACGTAACAAAATTCATAAAAGTATTAAGAAAAAACACTTTGCTGCAACTATATTTTGACCATTTCAACTTCACATTCATGATACCATTGCCAATACAATCTTGTTCAACCAATCATGTGTATTTATTATCAGTGTCATATTCATCTTAACCATAATCTGATATGATGACAAAGCAATTTTCGGCACCATCCAAACGAAGTACAACACTTTGGTAATACTTCAATATTACTATTTCAAGTCTATAACATTGTTGCGCCAACTCCAGGCTGAGAATTCTCAACAGATATGTCCTGGTGGTTGTCATGGTGATGGCAGTGATGAGTATGATTGACAGGTGTCATCTAGATGCGTGACAGCTGATGGAGAAGGTTGGAGGGGAGGATGGCTTCGAGTTTCTCCAGGACGTAACTCAAGGGCAGGTACATCCAACTCAGCATCTGTAAGAGCATCACATACATCAATACACAACATCTTCAATAACTAACATTACTATCGCATTTAAAAATCAAAATATGTTGTATTATAACCACATAACACAAAGGGACACAACTCTGCTCAGTAAACTGTGGGGCAAAGAAGAACAAGAAAATATTTTTAGTGGTAGATGTTAAAGAAAGACTACCTTTCCCATTCAAAATTGTTTTACTGCACTAGCTTCAACTTCTGAAGTAAAGCTTGTCATATATAAGACATGATAATGACATCAAATCTTGTTAAAGTTGCTTCAGATCTTGTATACAAACGGGGTGGTGGGGTGCCCAGTGGTTAAAGCGTTGGCTCGTCACGCCCAAGACATTGGTTCGATTCCTCACATGGGTGCAATGTGTGAAGCCCATTTCTGGTGTCCCCTGCCGTGATATTGCTGGAATATTGCTAAAAGCGGCGTAAAATTAAACTCAGTCAGTCAGTATACAAAACATTAGGCAGACTAGATATTTGAACAATTAATGGTGGACATATTTTGTGTGACAGACAGAGCTTACTTTGTGAAAAAAGTTGTACATACAAGTGTCAATTTAAGATCAATGTGAGTGAGTGAAATTTGGGATAGTCCATCTACATCATGGCTGCAATAAATAGTAAGGGAAGGAGCACTGGCTATGTGAGTACTAAGACTCCCGTACATAAAGTGAGTGAGTTTAGTTTTATGCCACTTTTAGCAATATTCCAGCAAAATCATGGCGGGGGACACCAGAAATGGGCTTCCCATACATAAAGAAGGCACACTACAATTGTAGCACTAGAACCACTTGTGGAATGAAACCCTTGACTGCCCTCAGGATCTGCCTTGTGATAATAACTTTATTCATTACCAAGGTTATGATATCAACAGTTACAAGTCATAAAATGAGCCTGTCGAACATAAATCCAAGCATGATTCAAATAATATTCTTCAACAATCCTTGAAAAATAGTAATAGTAGTAGATGTATCCCATATTCAAAGAATATATTAACACTGTATTCAAGGCAATAATTTCAAACTTAACCACTTCCTCTGGTTAGGGTTTTGTTAATCAGTGAAATATAAGTCACCTTGACCATCTTACCGCCTTATCTAAGATAAATTGTTAATGAGGAGATTGTTCTTTATACATCTACTGTGACACATCTCTGAATAATGGCCTCTAAGATAAATAAATCGATATAATCGTGTGAACATCTTACCGTTCTGACGACAACGCCCATGGGTTCTGGGTACTGATGTGTTAACAGTGCCAGCAGAGCAGTAAAGGAACACAGACCAGCAGTGAACAAGATAAAGAAAGGCAGCTCTTTCTTGGGGTAAACTGACACCTCGTGAAAAGCTGTGGATAGAGAAATAACATGTAACATCCACTGCTGAATTATATATCACGATGAGTGAGTGAGTTAATACCAATTAAGAAATTGGAATTTCAATGCCAATATTCTAGCTACCTAAACAGCACGTCAGCTAAATGTGTCAGAAAAGACGTAAGTGATGCACTTCTTAGATGTTTACTATTGCGGTGAAACTCAGGTGTATTGGAATAGTGCTGACCAACAGAAGAAACAATATTGGGGCAGACCGGGATACAAAACAACCATTGGTTTCGAAACTGCCAAAGGGATGCAACTCTGCACAGAGCATTTCGGCATCTGTGTTTTCAACAATCAGAACAGTGGAAACGATCTAGTCTATCAGGTATTGGGTCACATGTAGTGTAATGAAAGTCTAACCCATACACATTTATACTCTTGCTTTCCACTTAATACAACAGTAAGGCATGACATGCATGTACCTCACCAATTTTCTGACATTTTTTTCAAAACGAAATTGGTAATATATTTCCCATTAATTATATTTTCAGAATTTGGTTTAAAAACTGTTATGATTCCTCCCCAAACCATGATGGCTTGGATGTCTGTTCCTCCCCCTGCCTCAGTGTGTCTACTCACAAGGCAGCAGTTCTCTGTCAGCACTCTCTGTACATGTGGGGTAGGGGTAAAACAAGTGCCCCTTCTCTAGTGGGTATGGAATCATACGGAATGCTGCAATACACAAAAGAAATAGCTGATGATAATTCCACTATCACAAATACATTACAATACTGGTAACACTGTACAATGTATAATTAGGCTTACTGGAAACTATAAACTATAACCTTTGAAATCTTGTCATGAAACTATCTGTCTTTTATTTCTTATAAGGATGACCTAAGCCTCTTCAAAACATTGGGCTCAGTTTTAGCCATACTTCTTCGTCTACTAGTGCTGGTTATCACTCACAATATTAGTGAACCAGGGATAGAATTATTTTTCGTAAGTGTGCCTTAGGGCACCAGACCATAAGTGGGGATCATTTTGAATTTATTGCTCAGTAATCGTATGGCATCAATACTCCATTGTAATCGTAAACCCAACCACAAACTTCATGTGGAGCAAGAATGGGGCTCAGTAATCGATACAATCATAACATCATGTGCAAACAAAACAGACAGCAATTAATACTATGATCAAAATGAGGAGGATACCTCCTGGTGAGACTCGCAAGTGTGTTATTTACATTGCAGTTTTACCAGGAACCAGGGATAGAATTATTTTTTCGTAAGTGTGCCTTAGGGCACCAGACCATATTATAAGCCGCATCCTTTCAGAAATCAAGTGTGCCCACATGTTTTTTAGAATAAATGACAGTGATGATGATCATTTTGAATTTATTGCTAAAGGAAGAAATGGGTTTAGGAGCATTTAGATATGTATGGCATCATTCAATTTGGAAAAAAAGTATTGTTTGGGGGATTAAATGATTAAAGGTGAATTATGTTCCAAAAACATTAGGCATGCCATAACGGCACCGCACAACATTTCTTAACAGTGCCATTCCAGTATTTACCGTGCCATGGCATGTCAATACATGGAGTATTTCAACCCTGGGATCGATAAGTGGGGCTCAGTAATCGATCAATACTCCATTGTAATCGTAAACCCAACCACAAAATTCATGTGGGCAAGAATTGAATACAATCATAACATTGTGCAAACAAAACAGACAGCAATTAATACTATGATCAAAATGATCGAGGATACCTCCTGGTGAGACTCGCAAAGTGTGTTATTTACATTGCAGTTTTACCAGGAACCAGGGATAGAATTATTTTTTCGTAAGTGTGCCTTAGGGCACCAGACCATATTATAAGCTGCATCTTTCAGAAATCAAGTGTGCCCACATGTTTTTAGAATAAATGACAGTGATGATGATCATTTTGAATTTATTGCTAAAGGAAGAAATGGGTTTAGGAGCATTTAGATATGTATGGCATCATTCAATTTGGAAAAAGTATTGTTTGGGGATTAAATGATTAAAGGTGAATTATGTTCCAAAAACATTAGGCATGCCATAACGGCACCGGACAACATTTCTTAACAGTGCCATTCCAGTATTTACCGTGCCATGGCATGTCAATACATGGAGTATTTCAACCCTGGGATCGATAAGTGGGGCTCAGTAATCGATCAATACTCCATTGTAATCGTAAACCCAACCACAAAATTCATGTGGGCAAGAATTGAATACAATCATAACATTGTGCAAACAAAACAGACAGCGATTAATACTATGATCAAAATGAGGAGGATACCTCCTGGTGAGACTCGCAAGTGTGTTATTTACATTGCAGTTTTACGAGTCAGTTATTTATGTCTTGATTTAATAAACATAATAATAAGAAACATACTTATGGCTTCCACCAGCGAGAATGATCGATTGACAGATTATTTGATCAATCGCTCCAGCACTTTAGTCGACATCTAAATTTGTTACATTTTCAAAGCATGTATGTTCAAGTGAAGTTCCTTTACAACAGTTTAGAAAGTTTCTGAGATCTTAAGTGAATAACTTCTAATACCATTTGAACTGGGTTTCAGTTATATCACAGCAGGACAGTTAGAGGCAGGAACATCTGAAGTGATGGTGGGACGAAAGTGATGCAGATCTCTGACCTAAGAGCAAGGCTCCATGCTGGCAAATAATGAGACATAATCACAGCAAACCTTGGATTTGAAACCCAATCATAACTTTCTGGCACCCACGAGGGATGCTTAACAAGAGCAAACATTTGTACTTACTGCCCTCCCATGTACAGTGGAGAAGATTTAACGCACCCTCTACCCTCTTCCAGTGTTGGAGGTGGAAAAATGCATACGCTAGAGCTTCGCTGTCCCCTCGCTTCAGTATATGTTCAGGTGGAAGCACCAGACTCTTCATTTCTAATAAGTACTGAAACAAACATCAGGCGTCACTTTATCATTTATAACACACTTCCAATGAGAACATCAATGTTATTTTAAGTCATCTATTATTTTGTGTATTATCAACTGGTCTTGTGTACAATGAATGAGTGAGTGAGTGAGTGAGTATGGTTTTACGCTACTTTTAGCAATATTCCAACAATATCACAGCGGGGGACATCAGAAATGGGCTTCACACATTGTACCCATGTGGGGAATTGAATCTGGGTCTTCGGCGTGACTAGCAAACGCTCTTACCACTGGGCTACCCAATCGCACCTTGTTTACAAAATCAAGCATACTGATGAGAGCAGTCATATCAGTGTTCTGTTTAACAAATCAGTTAACAATACAGTTGAAAATATCTACATCATTTTTGGTGGGGACAAAGGGAGGATTGGACAAAGAAGGGACATAACTCCATCAACCTTAATAGACAGTCACTGGCTTGCCGGCCATGTTGTTTTGTCAGGGGACACAACTCTTGTAACGGTTATTACCTTAGGAACATGTGGATTGAACTCCACTGCCCTGTGTATTGCTTCCACTGCTGTCATCTCTGCTGTGCTGAGACCTCGCTTGGATGCTATATCGGGGGAAAATCTGGAACAAAACATCAGAAGTTGTGTTGAGAAGGACTGACACAAGAATTCTATGGACTGATTCTTTCATGTTACCATTGCAATAGTCAATCTGTCAGACTACTATGATGAATTCAGGAATACCTATCAGTTCATATTACAGAAGCTTGCCACATAATATTAAAGCTTTTCCTTCAAATGTTCTTAAAAAACCTATTTGTAGTAAGACCTGTCTAGACAGGGCGTTGTCCTCTCCACGTGCTACTTACTTATCTGCTACTGCTCTTGCTTTAAGTAATGCTGCTGTGTAACATATAGTAGCTGACTTGGGTAGGCTGATATCTGAAACACAAACACAGTGGGTGAGTGAGTGTTTTGCTTTTGAAAATGTATGCACTTGATATTAATGTAATTTTGGAGTAAAATTGATATTTTATACTTATCCTGACTCATGCTCTTTTTTGCTTGTCTTCTTCTTCTTGCAGAACATAGTGGAACACTTGTATCTCCCTAATTGAAGCTCCCTTCAATTTAAAATCACTAATTAGTATTCACCACGAGTTACCTCCCTTTCCACAAGCTGGGGAGGGAGAGGCACCTCTCTACCCATGTGCCTCACTCTCTCCTCATATACTGAGCCCAACATTTGAATTTACAGGAAATCCAAAGTGTTATTTGGGGAGGATGGGAGGGCTGACCTCATGAGTCAGGATAAGTATAAAATATCAATTTTACTCCAAAATTACATATTTTCCTTATCCTGACTCATGCTCTTGCTTGTAGCATCCCTCACGGAACGGAGGTGGGAATATCTAATACTTTGGATTTTTAATAATTAGTGATTTGAACTGTGATGATTGTAATAACCCTATGGGAACTTCATAAAGGCACTGAACTGATGAATTCCTGCTGCTAACTTATCAGCTGCCATATAAAAGGTTATTACCATGTACTTATTATGATAAAGTATATATAACATTAATACAATGCTTAAGACTAATAGACTTAAGCTTGTTAATATGCTAGTATAAACTCCTTAGAGTTTGTTAGCTAAAATACTTTAAAGATATAACATAGTACTAAGCTTAAGATATGATTAAACTTAAGCTAATTATATAATAGCAAACTCTTTAGAGTTTGTTAGTTAATATACTTATATGATATAGATATAATGCTGAGCTTAAGATATGAATAAGCTTTAGCTACATATATAATAGCAAAACTCTGTAGAGTTTGTTAGTTAATATATTTTTATAATATGAGTATAGTACTGTGCTTAAGCTATAATTAACTTAAGCTACATATATAATAGCCAAACTCTGTAGAGTTTGTTAGCTAATATATTTTTATAATATGAGTATAGTACTGTGCTTAAGCTATAATTAACTTAAGCTACATATATAATAGCCAAACTCTGTAGAGTTTGTTAGCTAATATATATTTATAATATTAGTATAGTACTGAGCTTAAGATATAATTAACTTAAGCTACATATATATAGCAAAACTCTGTAGGGTTTTGTTAGCTAATATATTTTACAATATGAGTATAGTAGTGTGCTTAAGATATAATTAGCTTAAGCTACATATATAATAGCAAAACTCCATTAGAGTTTGTTAGCTAATATATTTTACAATATGAGTATAGTAGTGTGCTTAAGATATAATGAACTTAAGCTACATATATAATAGCAAAACTCCGTAGAGTTTGTTAGCTAATATATTTTTACAATATGAGTATAGTATTGTGCTTAAGATATTATTAACTTAAGCTACATATATAATAGCCAAAAAAAACTCTGTAGAGTTTATTAGCTAATATGTTTATAGTGTAACCATAGTACTAAGCTTAAGATAAGATTAGACTTAAGCTAAATGTATATAGCAAAATAAACTCCTAAGAGTTTATTAACTAATATACTTTTATGTTAAAAACATAGTGTACTGAGCTTAAGTTATGATGAAACTTAAGCTATATATATATAATAACAAAACTCTGTCGGGTTTTGTTAGCTAATACCTTTATAATGTAAACATACTGCTTAAGATATGATGAAAACTTAAGCTAATTGTATAATAAGCGAAAACAACCCTTTAGAGTTTGTTAGCTATGATATAAACCTAGTATTGAGCTTATGAAGGGAAAACTTAAGCTACATATATAATAGCAAGAACTCCGTTAGAGTTTGTTAGCTAATACATGTTATAATGTAACCATAAAGCTTAAAATATGATGAAACTTAAGCGAAATATATAATAGCAAAACCCTCTTTTAGAGTTTTGATAGCTAATATACCTATATGATATAAACATAGTACTGCTTAAGATATGAATAAGCTTAAGTTACATATATAATAGCTAAAACTCTGTAGAGTTTGTTAGCTAATACATGTTATAATATAACCATATTGCTTAGAAATATGATGATACTTAAGCCAAATAGCAAAAAAACTCTTTAGAGTTTGTTAGCTAATCTACTTATATGATATAAACATGAGTACTAAGCTTAAGATATGAATAAGCTTAAGCTACCTATATAATAGCAAAACTCCTTAGAGTTTGTTAGCCAATATATTTTAATAATATGAGTATAGTACTATGCTTAAAGGTATAATTAGCTTAAGTTACCTATATAATAGTAAAACTCAGTAGAGTTTGTTAGCTTAAATTAACTTAAGCTATGTATAAAATAGCCAAAACTCTGTAGAGTTTGTTAGCTAATGCATTTATCATGTAACCATAGTATTACTCTTAAGATATGAATAACTTAAGGTAAATATATATAATAACAAACTCTGTAGAGTTGTTAACTTATATATTGTATGATGTAATAATCATAGTACTGTGATGATAAAAGGAACTTAAGTAAATTATATATAGCATGAAGCTATTTAGTATTGTTATAAGATAAGTAAAAATCTGTTAGATTGACTTATCTTCTCCGAGGAACTGTCAGCTGTTGTGCGAGGACCATGGGATCAATTGGTGTATACCTGAGACGTCCTCGGTGGTGATATCTCTCAGATAATGGTTTGCAACCACCATATCGGATTTCCAGAAATAAACCCTCCATTATTTCAATCACATTTGTGTAGAACAATTGTAGAAGTTAGCTTATAATATCATGAGTATTAAGCTCATGGAGGGTCGGAATAGGTCCATCCGCATATGCACGTAGTATGACAGTTCTGATCCAAATGGAGATATAATACATGAGACTTCACTCTGTGAAGTTGATGATAGAGAAAATAATCTGTTGCATTTTTCCTCCTGTTTGGTTTGGTGCAGATAAATTTACAGTGCCTCTTGCTGGCCATCTTGATAGAATCATCGCGTATCATGGGGTCCAAGTATGTCATCCAGGCGTGTTCATAAACCTCACTTGTGAGGTGTTGGAGCACTATATTCATATCCCCAGGTTGGTGAAATTTCCGCTTTATTCTCCAAACAGAAGTTTAGTAGGTTTACTAACCATCTAGTTGTGTTAGTCGCTTGATGAAATTCAGCTGTAGTCTGAAACGCTGTGGATTTAGATCCACTTGTATCTTCTTGCCTAGGTAATTCGGGCCGCTAAGTCCTTTGATGATGTAGGTGCACAACCAGGTGTGTCTGTCCTCGTTGAACTTTATGTAAAATCGCCTGACTGCCGATCCCTCGCCTTAACTTGACAGGGGAGGTCTCTAACTTGAAGAAAGGCAGTCTAATCATGAATGTTCAGGTTAACTGGACTGTAAATGAGGCTTGCTCGCTCACTGATATATAGTTGTCACTTGTGACGTAAGTCTTGAACTGTGAATAGAGATCGAATCCTCTGTGTAGGTCACGTTGTCCCTCAGCGGTCCAATCAGAACAAGGCATTTTGATTCTGTATAATACCCGCTGTGATGTCACCGGTGTAGCGGGAAAAACCCACCTTGAATAAATTCTTGTCGTCGTTGATATTAGCATAAACGCCGGTCTTCACCGTAGCTTCGAAGTTATCCGAGTGACCACGCGTGTTTGAGGGTTAATGGTAACCGCTACGAAACCTCCGCCAAATATCTCGCTCCTGTAATTTTATGCTGGGTAGGTTATTTTCCTGGTTGTCGTGAAAGTAATTTCAGTTTTGAATATAATTCCGACTTCCTTATATATAAGGGTATAAACAACTTGCAAGTTGTGAGCTTGTAGACTGTATACATGAATGTATCGTCATAATTGTAGAATTAACGTTGAACTTGTTGTACATATTTCTTCTCAGAAACTTTGACGATTAAGAGTTATACTCGCTGTAACAAGGCTGCTGTTCAATTTCGATATTGAATTGTCTGCAGATATGCAAATGGTCACGCATGTAGATAATCGTATCGTCGTCCGGGATTGTATATTAGCAATTTATAATGAATAGTTGATTTCTGTGAAGATCTATGAAATGTCGTTGACTAATAATACAGCTGACGCTTCTGTGTTGTAAATAGCCTGAGCAATTATCTTCGCGTAGGCTTATATAGATCGCATCTGGCATACAGTTGATAATCAACTTATGCGACGCCTTGAACGGACTGGACGAAAGTAGCTATATATGACGAAAGTGGCTAGTATATAGAACCTTGGAGGAGACTTCCTCGGTGAACGCCCGGAGACTTCGAGAAGTTCTCGGAAGTATCCCTTCTAGATCTTCTGGGTGAAGTAGACTTGGAGTTACTTAGCCTTCAGCGACCATCGCTAAGGTGTCGAGTCAAAAGCCCGATTAGTATATATATATATATATAAATATATATGAGCTTGCTTCGTGGAACAGCCTCTGTGTTTAACAGGATGTGGGATCGGGAAGCGCTTTGCCTAAAATGAAGGGCCGCATGGATCATCTTATCATATTCAAAGTCGCGGTTACGAAGTCTGGTGATAAGTGTCTAATTGATCGTTCTAGATCTATTTAGGCCAGCTTAACATACCGCCCTCGTCATGGATTCAACAGAACCAATATAATGATTGTAGTTCTTATACTTGATATCGATGATCAACTTGTCTATGGGTTGATCTTCGGAGACTTGTGAGGGGAACGTTGATAGTTTCGCTGGCTCTTGTATAGTCCCTCGATGTCCTTCTAGATGATGAAGATCTGATTCAGGTGTCTCCGGCGCATGCCTTCGCTGAAGCTTCCTCTGCGTCCGGTCCGGGAACGACGATATGACCTTCGCCGAAGGCTTCCGCGGATGTCTGATGGTCCGAGTCCACATCTAGGGATGAAACCGCAAAAGGTGATGATCTATCCTGCCTTCGCGAAGTCCTTCGCGAAGGCTGTACATCTAGGTTCTTTCCGCGAAGGCTGTACATCTAGGTCCTTCAAAAGGTGGTCCGCGACTTCCTTCGCGAAGGTGACATCGTCCTGGCTGCTACGTTGACGGGGTGCCTCTGGGGGTGCTGTTCACGCTTGGAGCCTTCACTGGCTCGGACCCTGCTACCGCAGATATTGGTCCTCCATGATGTTCATAATTTGTCGCATCATGTCTTCTGGGATGGTCTGCGGCGAGGTCGCCGGGTGCTTTATCTGCGGTGTTAATGGAGGGGTCCACGGAAAATCGGTCCGACATCAGTGTAGAGGCATCAGGCTGCATGGTGATCTCTGCTGATGTCGTTGTAGCTGTCACCGGTCGCTTCTTGTGGCGTGCGTCGGGGATGATGATCAGCTGATCATCGTAGAGGTCCAGGTCATCGGCTGGAACAATCTCGGAGAAAGTCCTAGTAGACTTCGCTGATTTTCCCCTCAGAGGTCGACGCTGCCCTGGGTGTCGCGACGTCTGCGTTGAGTGTTGGTAATGATGGGACCCTCAGGACGATCATCGTGATATCTGCGTTGGTACATCAGGCTGCATGCTGATCTGTGCCGACATCGGTCAATCTTGATATGTACATCCGGTATGATGACCGGCTGATCATCATACAGGCCCAAACTTCGATGGGAACGGTCACCGGTTGTTGAGATGTAGTAGAAAAACCCTCTAGTCTTCTGCTGCGGCTGATGGGATGTCTGGGGAAGCAGGATGCTTCTTGGAGATGGCGGACTCACGTCCCCACACCTCTCCACCACTCTAGCGGAACACCACACGGGAGGGGAGTCGGCCAACAGCAGTAGACTGGCGAGGGTTCCGTGTATCAGTCATACTAGACTCTGCATACGCCGACCTATCTGCTGTGCGCCAAACGCAAAGTAAATATTAATAAAAGGTAGAATTGGATAAATTAGTACCGCAACTGCAATGTGAATATAATAAACATGGCTACGCATACATCATATTAAAGCGGATCAGCAGCAGCATAAAAACGTAATCTGCAATAGTACAGAATTTTCATCAACGTAATCCACTGGAAACAAACACGGTGATCCCGTGACTAAACTGTAGAAAAAGCGACTAAATATCAATATATAATCGTTTGAAGGATACTAGCTAAACCTCTATAGATGTCTATACGAGGTAACTAACTAAATATAATTCAAAGGATATAGTGTGTCGGAGACACAGGCGCTCTCACGATCCAGCTCACTGGGCTTAAGAAGGAGAGAGTGAGGCACATGGGTAGAGGTGGCTCCTGCTTCAGCTTGTGGAAAGGAGGTAACTTCGGGTGAATACTAATTAGTGATTTTAAATTGAAGGGCTTCAATTAGGGAGATACAAGTGTTCCACTATGTTCGCAAAGAAGAAGAAGACAAGCAAAAGAGCATGAGTCAGGATAAGGAAAAATATACATTTTTAAAAAATATCTACAGTGTTTTGTCATTACCAGAGTACTTACTACCAGTAAATATGTTTAAAGAGTGAGTGAGTGAGTGAGGAGTGAGTGAGTGAGTGAGTGAGTGAGTGAGTGAGTGAGTGAGTGAGTGAGTGAGTGAGTGAGTGAGTGAGTGAGATTTCTATATCATTCCAGAAAGGGTCTTCACTGAGATGAGCATTTGCTTTAGTTACTACGCTAAGGCCACCATTACAGAAGTGAGTGTTCTACATGCTCAGTCAACATAGTGGTCCACTCACCATCATATCTGGCCAACACTGCCTGAACATCAGCGTAGGCCTGGAGCTCTAACAACAGCTCTATAAGGTTCTCATGGATGTTGTAGCTAACATCATACAGTTACAACTCACCATCATATCGGGCCAACACTGCCTGAACATCAGCGTAGGCCTGGAGCTCTAACAACAGCTCTATAAGGTTCTCATGGATGTTGTAGCTAACATCATACAGTTACAACTCACCATCATATCTGGCCAACACTGCCTGAACATCAAGCGCAGGCCTGGAGCTCTAACAACAGCTCTATAAGGTTCTCATGGATGTTGTAGCTAACATCATACAGTTACAACTCACCATCATATCGGGCCAACACTGCCTGAACATCAGCGTAGGCCTGGAGCTCTAACAACAGCTCTATAAGGTTCTCATGGATGTTGTAGCTAACATCACACAGGTACAACTCACCATCATATCTGGCCAACACTGCCTGAACATCAGCGTAGGCCTGGAGCTCTAACAACAGCTCTATAAGGTTCTCATGGATGTTGAAGTTCATCAAAGGGAACTCCTTCATAAGCTGTAAAGAAAACAAAGAGAGGTTAAATTTGTTAAAAATTATTAGCCTATCACCTCAAATTTATCATTTTGTCCTGAATAACATCATATGTTTTACTTTGGTGATAGCATGATTTGAATATGTCATCTGCTAATTCATCTTATATAGGTAATATCTCTTCTCCTTAAGTGGAGAGTTTGTCTAAGACTACAATTGTTCACATTTTTAAAATGCATAAAAATAGGGAGTGATTAAATTGTACAAATTTCTAATCTTTCCCAAAAACATGTACTGCATTTCTACTAACTGCAATTGAAGCTGAGTGAAAAAAAATGTCCATCCCCATGTTTGCGGCCACATAACACCTCACACAAACACAACCTTTTCAGGGTTAGGATTATCATTAACCCGAATCATTCCACTTCACAAATCTATCATTCTTGCTGAACAAATCACAAGAACTGACAACTGAATTGGTTTATCAATCATTACACAAATTTGAAGTGAGACATGGGACCACATCAAAGACCCCAGATCCTGAATTCACATCTACAAAACAGCTAGTGCAACAACTACTTACATCTCTCATCATTTTGACAGCTTCTCTTGTCCGCCCGAGTTAGCCTCCTTGGTAGCACACATCATGTACTAAACCACACTCTTTATATACACCAATACATTGGTATCTCTCCCTGTAGCAGACAGATGGGTGACAGCCATGTACAAAATAAACCACACTCTTATTATGTGGGGAATATCAGACATATCTTTATATACACCAATACATTGGTATCTCTCCCTGTAGCAGACAGATGGGTGACAGCCATGTACAAAATAAACCACACACTGTGGGGAATATCCAGACATCTGTGATGCCTACACTGTTCTCCTGATCACAGATGGGTGACAGCCATTAAAAATGTTTTAAACTCAATGGGTCCTTGTCATTCAAGTTTAAAAGAAAAATATTTTGGAATTTCTTATATTCAAACACTATACGAATAAACATCAAGGATTCCAGGACCCCCATAAACTGAACATTTTTTACCATTATGGAGGACACAAGCATTGTATTGTTTGACGGAAAATTCCTGGCAGTGTGCGAAATAATCTTCAACAGTACTTCCCTGCCCGGCTAGATATCTGTTTCAGTTGAGTTTAGATTTGAATGGACAGGGATTTGTGTCTCTACCAAATACCAGTGTCTCACAAATAATACCAAACTGCCTGACTCACAAGACAACAATGTCTGACTTACGATGTAAAGCTTCTAGCTGTGAGTTCTGATGCTGGGTCTGCTGGGACTTCCTGTACGATGTTTCCGCTGCCTTGTATGCCTGCTTGAACATCTTCTCACTCTGCAACCAGGGTATGAGGGTTGAGTGATGGGTGAGTGAGTTGTGAGAGGTGGGTTAGTGTTTGGTGGGCGAGGACTTGTGACAGACACACTCACACGGTCACACTCATGAGCAAGAGATATTCTATGCTACAAATAAAGGTTGTGTTGAAATTCCAAATGATGTGGTAGTACAAAGTCATTGGTATATATGATCAAAAGAGATTGGAAACATAATAACACTGGAGAGAATCAAATCTTCAATCGCAAAAACATCCATTCATACAATCAGGAACCTTAGAAAGTACATGCTGTGAAGTTGATCGAGCAGGATTTGGCTGTAATACATGCCTTGGCCTCTTAGAAAAACAGGTGCCCTTTCAGCCATACACAACAGGTTATGAGAATATCAGAGACTGAGAGGAAAGTGATAAACAAAATGACATGTTTTAACTGTGTGCTTTTACTTTAAACTTTTGAAAAAACATTGTTTGAAATTAAACTTGCTTCACTGAGTACATGTGTTTTCTCACCTCTAAAATAGTCTGACATTCTTCTTCTGCTAGAAGCAGCAAAGCAGTAGGACACCTGAAATACAAGTACATCATCATCATCATCATCATCATCATCATCTCTGAAACACTGAAATCTAAGGAACTTTGAAAACCAGTCATTTGACTTTCATAATCAGGCCACTGGGCCATATTACAATGCCAAAAAAAACCAATATAGTTATATAAAACTGTTTTGGATACCAATAACAGTTAGCCCAGAAACTTAATGCTCATCAGGGTCCATAGAGGTTCAGAGATGCCGGCACATCTACATGTATATTTGATTGAACAAGAGCAAATTTCTTTGATATTGTACTGTTTCAAATTATATTGATTTGATTTTACAAAGTTTTATTTACTCTGTTTCAAAGGAATAAGACAAGTCTAACTCACACTGAAGTATTCTTTGACATGAATATGTTAATATCTTCATGACATGGAGGGATATCCGCCATTAAATCACAATGTTAAATGGCATAAAGTATTGTCCACCGATACTGACATCGGAGAAAGGACCATATGAGCCGCCATGGCATCTATGTCCAAATAAACTCAATCAAGATATGTTCACCTTTGAAGGGGGCATGTCATCATGATCTGTACTGACACTGAGGAGAAAGTTATTTTTCATATGGAAATTTGATCTTACGTTGTTGATAACAGAAAAAATCCTTTCATGAAGGGAAATTAACATGTCAGAGGGATCATGATCTTGTAAAACTATAGAATAGTATGGAATGAACCACACACTATTAATGAACAGTTATTTTTCAGATGGAAATTTGAAACATCTTAAACTTCTCGTAGCATAATAACTCTGAAAATACTTCAGAAATTCTTCTTCAAACCTTTGCTGGGAGGAATTTTCCAGCTTTTTGGGACTTCAAAAAACATCAAAGAAACTACCGAGGTAGAAATCGCCGATGTCCGACATGTTTGTTTACAAACAAAAGGGTCAACGAGTTAATTGATTCATACGCAGTGAATCGGTCACTTTAATTAGCAGTCCTTAAACTGCCATTTAAGTACGGTTTTGATGAGCTTTCAGCCAATCAGAATCGAAGTATCACACAATGTCGTGCTAGAATGTCCTGTAGGTAGTCACAACTTGTAGTCATTGTACTTTGTTAACAACTAGTTTTAAATACATGAACTTAACTACCCTGACATAGCCTGTATTTCATTCAGTCCACACAAAAAGAAACACAGTTCACTGACAAGCCATTTTTCATTTATACAGTTGGTTTATGAGACTAGCAGAAAAAAAAGATTGAAATTAGTAAAAAAAATAGACTTTGACATTTTTGTTAGGGTTGACTCCATTTTACAATCTGGTAAAATACAAAAAGAAATATTTTGTCAGATATTGTGAATAAAAGGGATAAAAAATGCTCTTCCAATAGAAGAAGCCAACCAATCTTCTTTGTGTATCTTGTCATTTTAAAGCTTGTTTTTCATTCACTGGCAGCAGTAGAAATGGTATGTTGTTGAAAATTAACCAAAAAAAAAGAAGAAAATTTAACCACCTTCATTGAATTAGTTGCATAACAGTTTTTTTTGCAAACTAGCAAATCAAAAAAAGAGATCTTGTATGATAACTGCATGATCCTCGTTTATGTTAAATTGTCCATTAAAGCAGCGGATAAGTTCACTGAGTCTACAGTCATATCGAACTGATCACGTGTAGTAGTGATTTGATGCACTCTGTTTTAAATACTTTTGAAACGGGACATCAACCAAATCACTTGTGAACATTTTGTGCATGATATCAGAAAGACAGTGACAAAAGATCCTACCCACTTATATATCTATATTAATTTTCATTGATTTTTGTACCACAAAATTATTGAGGATCGGAAAACATTCAAGGCCATAATGGTGAATTGTGACCTGAAGCAGACCTGAGAACAAAAACACTCTGACCTCAGTCACTACATACAAATCTTTCATGTTTGTTCTGTTTTAAACAAACTGGGACCATACAAATTATCCATGCCTTCAAAAACAACATTGTGATTTTGAATAATAATGTTTCTTTTAATCTGGACATATTTCAGTTTTATACTGCATAGCCCAATGACAGGGACGCCATAGTTTAACAAGCATACTGATACTGAGCCGACCAGTCCATATTCTGTTCCATTATGCCCGACAAAGTAACAATAAGAACCTGTTTAAAATTCTTTGGTATGATACAGCCAAAGATCGAACCTCTGAATTTCTGCTTTCAAGCCAGGCACTCTCTCTCTCCTAGACAATGGAGGGGTGACTTGAGCTGAAGGATAGCGCAAGGATACTTGGCCAGTTGATTACAGATATTAAAACAGGCTATAGTCATAATCAATAATCTCTGGTACTCTGGAAGGTCACGCTCAAGATGGCTTCCCTTTAAATCACGACAAAGATCCAGATTTTCAGGTCCAAAGACGTAGTTATTTACGTGAAACGCGGACACGTGACACCCCAGCTGGTGATGCAACTGTAGTATTACTGATGGTGTCTAGGGACATAGTTCAATCAATACGAGACTAAAAATATCCTGTGTACCCACACCGACTCCTGTCTGACGTAGAAGGATGAGGTAGTGATTCGCCATATACGCGCAACCAGTTCTCCTTTAGTCGTGCTACACAATCACACTGCAGGTTATTTTCGGTATATATGGTTATAGAAATAGCAGCTTTTTATCACGTGTAAAAACGATTCAGATTAGAGTCATTTATAAACAAGTGGGCTTTGCTGGGTCAAAAATGTATGTTTGATCTGGTAAGAAATTTGACAGATAGGCATTTGTGTCAGACTATTTGTAAAAAGTTTTGAAAGAGTTTCTAAATTTGGAAGATATCTTGTGTTTGCTTGACAGAACAGTAGAAGGCCATCAGCTTTGTGAGTAGGTGTACCATAGACAAGACATAAGATATCTATATTTTCAACCTACCAATCCTTTTATCAAATACACAATATCAAATAGGATTTGACATTTACACATGCAATTCATCTCTAGTACAATTAAACTTTAATGTCAGTTTTCACTTTGTCTTGATTTCTTTTAACCTTAACAATGGGAGATGAAGACAGGGATTGATGTTGAACATGGTTAAAGGAGCTGGTTTCCTAGTTGCATTTCTCCTAAGACTGAATGAGTGAGCAGAATACAGACTTTTCCATGCAGACATGGAACAGTTCTACTCAAGTCGTGACTGCAGCCTCTAAATTAATGATGCTGGGGTAGAAAATCAAGTTTCAGGTGGGCGGCACGCAATAAAATGAGCCTCTTAGGACAAGCTCGGGCTGCTAGAGACCTACTCTACCCTAGAATCCACACAAGGGAATTGATATGAAGTTTTACTTATTCTGTATTAACATGCAACAGTAAAATCATTAGAATTATGGTCTTTTCACTTTCAATAAAATATTGTACTTGTGTCACCACTGGTAATCAAAGAACATCTATGTACAGTGGCCAAGAATGAGTTCACACACGCATAACGTCACGACAGCTTAGTGAATGTCAAAGCACAAAAAAAGAGTTAATAACTTTCTTAAATTAAAACATATTTACACGAAATTTTCAGTACTTAGTGACGTGACCTCTTACTCTCAAAACCTGTCTGATTCAGGCTGGTATACTGTGACAAAGGCTTCTTACATAGACAAGAGAAAAGTCTCTCCAGATTTCCCCGACGTTGCTAATGAGGTCATCTTTGGTGTTAATATCCTGCACTCCCCTCATTAGATAGTTTAACACTTTCCTGACATTTTCTATAATATATAAGTCTGGACTTTGGCTGGCCATGGAAGTGTTCTGATACCATTGTCTGTTTTCCACTGATTGGCCCTTGCAGACACATGACATGGAGCATTGTCTTCCTGGAATGTCCAGGGTCGGTTTGTAAAGTGTTGGGTGATGACAGGCCAGAGATTTTCATTCAAAACATTTATATATTTGTCGTGTTCATATTTCCATCCCCATATGTCAGTGTTCCCACTCAAATGATACGTGAGGCACCCCAAAAACATTGCCGATATCACCTTTCTGCTGTCATGATCAGTGAGGACCCTAAACATTCGGGCAGTAAAGGTTCATTTTGTTTGTGCCAAATATACACTTTTCTATCACTGCCAATCACTACTTGTGTCTCATCACTACATATGATTTTTCGCCACTCATTTCGGGTCCAATGCAATTTAGTGCGACAAAATCGTAAACGGTGTTCCCTGTTGACCGGTGATATTGTGATTTTCTTCGATACCTGCCGCCGCCTGTAGCCCTCAGTAAACAATCGTCTGCGAACAGTTCTAGTAGACACTATAAGAGTTTACTGTGCATTAAATTTAGTTGTAATGTCATTCAAACTACTCCGCTGATTTTTTTAACGAGACGAAAATTTTTTCTATCACTCCTCGGTGACGATTTCGTTCAATCCAACTTGATTATAACACTTTATACATTTTTGTACGGTTCTTGGATTAATTTCAAGTAAATTTGCGATTTTGTAACTAGATTTACCTTGCTGTGATAACGTAATGATAACATCTTTCTGATCAGTGGTAAGTTGACAGCCGTGAGACGGCAGTTTCAAGCAGACCATGTTCCTAAGGTAAGCAAAGGGAAATAACTGCAAAAATATGCTCGTTATCATTTACACACCATAAAGAAAATACATGCGAAATTTCATAATGCTGTCTGTCGATTTGCCAAAACGCGAAGCCATAATAAATCGTCAAACGTTGTGACCCGACACTGCGCAACTATTTTTGCGAACTCACTTTTGGCCACTGACTGTACAAGACCTAAAGTCTGTCCAAAAACATGGGAGTCTACTACATTTTAAACAGCTTTTGACAAGTGGCTAAGAAATCACATATTGCATAGATAGCTGAAGAAAATGATCCCCCCACCACCCCCTAAAATTATCACAGATCATAATTCAAAGAATAGCCTACTACAGTTAAAGTTTTATATGTTTACATCTTTAGTTTTAAAAAAAATCCCAAATTTCAAGCTGAAACCACATGAATAAGAAACTGCAATAATTTTATCAATTATGAAAATGTCTTCCTATATAATTTTTGCTAAATAATCATAACAAACACATTAAAATTGATACAACCAGTGGTTCAGATAATAGTCTCAGTTACTGATTACTTATATTGGCTATTTCTGTCCTTCTTGGGGTCTTTATATATTTTGATTATTTGGGGGCCAGTTTTGTCATCAAGATAAACAGAATTGCAACTGTTCCTGGACTGCTTGACTTGGACAGAATGCATGATTCGCTGAAATTGGTATAGTCTGTTCATGTGGACACAACGTGAGAGCTAGTGCCACAGACTCATCTTCCTCACAGACTGGCGCTTCAGGAAGACCTTCTCCCCAGACATATCTGTTGATTTTCCTGTCAAATCTTTAATGTATACAGCACCACATCAGTAGATAGCTTTCAGCAGTTTAGTCCCAACTAGACAAATACATCCATCCCGTCTAGCTCATTAATTAAAGAGGCTGTGTGATTATTCCAAAGATGTACAGGATTTTACTTCTTTTGATGAATGTTCCTGTTTGAAGAAGTTTGTGACGTCACTGCATGAGGATTAAGTTTGGGAGGATCTGACGAGAGCTCAAAGTCGAAGACTTCCCAATCAATAGAAGCCTTTTGTCTGTCAATTACATGCAGTTTCAAGCCATTATTGGCACTGTTGGTTGGATAGTGGGCCATCTATTTTCGACAACAAATGAGAAAAAGTGACATCCTTTATACAGGGTAGTAATCGTGATGGTCCTTTGGGCTCAAAATACCACAACGGTTGATGCAATTTGTGAGCAATGTGGTTTGGCAGTTGTTGAGTGAGCACCTCTTCACCTTCAAAGCACTGAGCTACTGATAGTAGGAACTGCTTGTTGTTTAACGCTGCGCAATATTCCAGCTGTATAGCAGCGGTCTGTAAGTATTCGTGTCTTGACCAGACAATCCAGTGATCAACATCATGAGCATCGATCTACATAGTTGGGATATGATGACATGAGTCAACCAAGTCAACGAGCCTGACCACCCAAATCCCTCTTATGACAAGCATGGGTTGCAAGTGAGTGAGTGAGTGAGTGAGTGAGTGAGTGAGTGAGTGAGTGAGTGAGTGAGTGAGTGAGTGAGTGAGTGAGTGAGTGAGTGAGTTTTCACTTGAAGGAGGAATGGAAGGACTTGAAAAAGGATTTATCAATTCATCGCGGGTAAACAGCTCCATCTAAATGTGGTACGATATATTTCTATGTACACATAAGTGTGCATTTAAAAACCCAGAGTAATCAGTAACAAATATATAATATCCATCATCACACAAATTATAAATTCATATACAAGTATGCAGAACCTGAAATTGGCATTGTTTTGAGACAACAGCACAGACAGTCGCTACGCTTGTAAGGAAACAATCCACCTGTTAATACAGTATGCTGTAGCGTCCCTACACTAACACCTGTCAATAACACTAAGTACCTCACAGCCAGATGTCACACGTTTAGTGATAGTTCCATTACATTCCCTTCCAGCTAAACATTAAACTGTGCTGTACAGCATCAAAGCTTCGGAGCATCTGTCCTGCTGATCAGGCTCCAGGTAGTTTTCTATCATTCACATTACTGATAGTTTTCTTTGTAGTCAAGAAAGTGTTAATCCCTGACGTCCAGTGTCAAGGGAAATTTTACACCAAAGAGCTGACTTTTTAAATAATTCGCTCTAATTGCTGCTTCAGGTCAGTCCTAATTTGTATGTGTTCGTGCTTCAGCTCAGGTGTCTGACAAGTTACACAACTCACAAGAGTGCTGTACATGTCTACTTGACAAGAAGCGAGACATGATGGCTGTTTGGGGTATAATTCACAGTGTTCACGTCGGTATGATGCCTGCACTCAACTAGTAATTATAGATCTGTACAAAATACATGTACGCAAGTTGAAATGGATATATTAGGTAAGAACGCAGAGTGTTGTTTAACTGTTATAAATATTTTATTTCCCTTGTCTGAATACAACTTGCCACATTTTGTCGAGACAATCATACACTGTCTGAGAAGTGAGTGAGGGTTGTTTTAAGCTCAAGACTACAATATGATGGTGTATCTGGTAAAATGGGCCTTTAAAAGTGTTGGGAATTGGTAAAATCTCATAATTGATGATTGGTTCATTACAACCGATCAATCATCAAAAATAATTGGTTAGCTGCCATTTATCAAATGTTCCTGTTGTGTTTATTAATGCACAAAAGTTTCAGGTTGTTTTTTTTCAAAATGCACAAAATGCATTTGCAAATTTCACATCTGTAAAGGATTACTAGTACATTAGGAACATAAAATTCCTGGCGTCTTTAAGATAATTCAATCATGACTTGGAACAAGCTTGCAGTGCTTATGAAATGTAAATTTAATGACACAGACAAAACCAACCTTATGATAAAGATTGTTCATGCAAACATGTTCCATAAGTTGTTTGTGTTTTTAACCAGACAACATGAGTAATTGCTTGGTCTGTCAGTCTGTAATCTTCGATTATTCCAGTTTGGACTAGAAAATCCAGTGACTGAGAACTCTGAGGGCCAGACCATCTGATACAGTTACCCGATATGACCTATTGTGGCAACATGTGTTTGTGTTCCTTTTATATCCCCGACGCATCACTGCTTGCATCAACAACGAGGCGCCATTTTGTGAAATCGGTGAGTATGGAAATGTGACCCAAGAGAAAAAGTACCATCGGTAAATAAAACTGAAGTCAACTTTTGTTTCAAAAATATATTATTTAAGTGTCCATATTTCATCTATATATATATGTCAATAAGAAAAAATAGTCCACTAACAATAAACACTGACATTTCTGCAAGAGAGTTCTGAGATTTTCACAAGTCATCGGGCCGTGAAACCCATCAAATTCCGCGTCACTGTCCTCCTCATATACTGTAAGTTCGATCCACATTATTCAAAGAATTCACTGTCATATATATTGTGTCTACTCACAGATCGAAGCGAAGTGTAGTTGACAGAAAATGCATAATATATTTTGCTTCTCTAAATATCATATTTATTGTAGCAACAAACTGGCTTGCTTATTTTACCCCATTCAACAATCACAAACTGATTACCGCCCCATGTCCATGTCACGTGCTTACCACGTTCATGATGGTCCGTATAACCTTAGTGTTGATTATATATTTTTACATAAAACTATTACACAATGCTAGGATATATTTCTTTGGGTTAAATAATAGTATTCAATCAATAGAATTCATCCCGTTATATTATTGTGCATGTTTGAACTTGTTCAAGGGAAGCGCAGCACAGCTGATTGCTATTTCCGGCTTTGTGTAATGACAAACAAATCATACGATAATCTTAATTAATTTATAGAGCAAAACTGTAACTAAAATTACACAATGCTAGGATATATTTCTTTCGTTTAAATAACAGTATTCTGTATTATATTTTACTGATGACTGCGTCAGAATTCGGCCCGCTATATTATTGTGCATGTTTGAACTTGTTAGCGGGGAAGCGTGTGCACAGCTGATTGCTATTTCGGCTTTGTGTGCACGAGACAAATCATACGGTGATCTTAATCCCTGCAAATAAAACAATGCCCAGCAAAAACAACTTATAACTTAAATGGTAATTAATCTTGTCTAGTGATGTTTAATTGCAAATTTGACGTCTCTACTGACAAAGTCGTCTTCTGTTGTTTGTTCACGCGAAGTGATACGATGTTGTTTTCTTACCCCTGGAAAATAGTTTGACGAAAGTGTAACTCATGGATAAGACGACCCCCTTCTACAGACTGCTTTTTTTGGTCCTCAAAATTCGGCTTATAGACGGTCATATACGGTAACCGCCTCTACGGACAAGCATTGGGGTTGCGAATGATTCTGACCCAGATCTTCAAGGAGTCGAAATCCCAAGGGATTCCAGAGATAGAAAACAGTATATATACTCACTCTGAGTTTTTCTCCAGTGATTCATGTGCAGCTTTTATCCTTGACTGTGGGTTCCGCTCCCTCCACGCCATCTGCATAACTAAACATACGACAGAAATATAAATAGGTGGTTGGTCTACACAAGAGTGTGTTCAAATTCAGTGAAGTGGGGTTAAACATCGGATTCATATTTGTTTGTTATTTGTTGCTTAAAGCCGCACTCAGCAATACTCTAGCTATATGATGGCGGTCTGTAAATCAAGTCTGGACCAGACAATCCAGTGATCTACAGCATGAGTATTGATCTATGCAATTGGGATAAGATGACATATGTCAACCAAGTCAGTGAGCCTGATCACATAAGTGGCCTGTTATGCCAAAGATTGGTTACTGAAGGCCAATCCTAACCCGGGTCTTCATGGGTGACATCATGTTCAATATTATTCCACTTATGTTGTGATGTGTTCGGGAATGTGTGAGGGTGTGTGTGGTTTTTGTGTGTTAGGTTTTTGTGTGTGTTGGGGGTGGGGGTCAAGGAGGGGAAAGAAAAAGAGAGAGGAGGAGGAAGAGGAAAAGAATTGGGGGTGGGGGGGAGATGTTTATGCTTGTTTAATAGCAGCATTGTTCCAGCTACATGATGGCACCCTGTGAATAATCAAGACCAGACAATCCAGTGATCAATGTTGTGAGCAAATATCTATCCAGATCAGGTACCATCAACCATGTCCCCATTACCAATTACGTCCCTTCACAAACGTGGGGCCATGGGATACCCTAGTGGTTAAAGGTCCATGCATTATTCTGAATTCTTGGGTTCGATTCCCCACATTGGTCCACGGTGCCCCAACCCCGTGACATTGCTCGAATATTGCTAAAAGCAGCTTAAAAGCCAACTCTTTTAAAACCAGCAATGGTTGCTATGGATTCATTTTGACCCATAGTCCCATGTTGCTATCTTTCATAGGTGTTCCTTTAGTTCTGATGATCAGTATATAAAGGATATACCAAAAGAAGCAAGACAAAAGTCAATGTGAATGATTTTTTATATTTCTATTTCAAGTTTAATGGGTGAGTGAGTGAGTTGGGTTTTACGCTGCTTTTAGCAATATTCCAGCAATATCACGGTGGGGGACACCAGAAATGGGCTCGACACATTGTATCCACGTGGGGAATCTAACCTGGGCCTTCTGCATGACAAGCGAATGCTTTAACCATTAAGCTACCCAACCGCTCCTGAAAGTTTAATGAAAACATTGATCAATGTGATTTTTTTCTTACTCTTCTTACTTTCATATTCCGGTTTTCCTGCATCATATTCGCAGGTAAAAAACGTCTGATGATCTTGTGCAGAGAGATTCATATCATAATACGTCAATGGATCTTTATTTGTTGCCCAAATAAAACGCTGGTACTCCGATCCACGGAAGAGGTTAAGAGGATTCCGCCAAACTTTGCATTCTGGAAATAACACGCAGGGTCAGTGATTGCATGCAGAATATTGATTACGCCATTCTGATGTAAATATTGGCCAATATCCACCTACGTGACCTGGCACTTAACATTGCATACTGAAACATGCTGACGAAAATCTCATAAACATGGCTTGAATGTTGAAAACTACATCTAGCACTGAGCAACAAAAGGTCTGGAAAATCAAAACTTATCGACCCAGAATACAAAAGGCAGAGAATAAATGAAATGATTATTCAACAGTTGATGAAAGCTTCAATTTCATGATGTGCTGTTATCAATAAAACAGATTCATGTACTTCACTTCGGTACATATGTCTTGTAATAATAACAAAGATGTGTAGTAGTTGAGAAGACAAATGTCTATGGTACAGCCACATCATTCTTAGTTACCACCACACTATTATATTTACGAAGAGGAAGATTTAAAAAGATATGTTATTATCAACTTGATACTATAAATTCAAAAATTTAAATATCAAATATTTAATTTAAACATTAAATGTTGCAAACAGAATATTTCCTTACACTTATAATACTTCAGTTATCCAAAGAAATCACAAATAAAAACACTGCAAGATTAGATACTTCTTGAATAATTTATAGCAAAAAGTAAAGGCTGAATAAATGTAATCATACTTTTTTATTCTAGAACAAATTAGAATCAAAATTATAGATGAGAATCACGAATTAAGACGTCACTTTAAACAACATTTCACTTCCAGGTTGAACACAACCTCAGTGTGAGTGATGTGCCTGAATGGCCAATCACCTGATGTGTAAAAACACATGTAACAAAATACATCACCAAATATAGATTTCCTGAAAACTACTCATACTCCATTACCAATTGTCACTAGCTTCCTGACAACTGTATTTTCCCATGACACTCTCAAACACATTTTCTGAGTGGCTTTGACAGTATGACACTCGAAACAACTGAATATAAAAAGTAACAAATCTGATATCAACTGACAAGATAGTCACAGCTCATTTAATGACAGCTGATTTGGGAAATTCGATTATCCCCGACACCATACTTTCCTAATGAAGCCATACCAATACTTTAACCTAAACCTCTGAAACTCCATGACATGAGAATTGATCAGGCATACTCTACACGGGCTGGCTATGGATATATATCATAGAGATCAATAATCGTTAACTATATATTGATTGATTATCGATAAATATTGGGGAAATAACTGAAAAAATGAAAAAAGAAATCTGAAAGAAATGAATATACTTAACATCACTGGTGATAGGTGACATGTTTATACATGGGTTACTAACAGTCAGTGAGTGAGTGAGTGAGTATAGTTTTATGCCGCACTCAGCAATATTCCAGCCATATGGCGACGGTCTGTAAATAATCTAGTCTGGACCACACAATCCAGTGATCAACAGCATGAGCATCGATCTGCGCAATTGGGAACCGATGGTTCATTCAACAGCATCCTGAACATAATTTAGAAGCAGACCATGAATAAAAGCCTTGTGTATTGTATGATTAATTAAAATTTTATTCTATCACAAGAGTCTATGAACGATATTATCAAAGACACTATTTTCATATCAATCATAAATAATTTGTCCTTGCGATGATATTTTCGTTTATCAATCTTTTTAGCCAGCCCTATACAGTACCCAACATTAGCCAAGGGCCACATCTGTGACAAGAGATGACTATTTTGGTCCTTCGCAAATGTTGAGGAATACACATAGCCTCTCTCAAACAATCCCTCTCAAACTGTCAAATATCAATCAATTATGATAAAGTGGCAATCCTTGCTACAAATACGCAATACATGGCCAAACATTCATTGAAAGCATCACATATTTCTATTGAATTACAGTGACATCAGTCAACGACAGCTGACAGTTTGTTGTCCGAACATTAGCATGTCAAGGATCTGGCGATTAAATCAATAATTCAAATGGCAGTCAAATGAACACAAATATACGAGGTTAATGTGTAAGTAAATATTCCGTTTTGCCAGAGAAAGTATCTACATCTCAACAGATGAATAAACCATTACGGCTGGTATCACATTCGTATAATATGAGTTAATCAATATCGTTCCCAGAACCTACAGTGTCTCGGCACCTTCTCCCAAACAGGAAATGGTATTTATATTTTCCACATGTTGTCGTACGTGCATGCAATCTGTGTGAGTTATATGGGTTTAACGACTCTGTGATCAGTATTCCAGGTTCATCATGGTGTCAGTTTAATGTGGGAGTGAAGCAGACCGGTGTCGGACATGTATCACGCTGGCGGAACCCATCAGCATGGATGTAGTGAAGACAAACAACAAAAAATAATCACACAAAAAAAAGAAGTTTATCAGCTCTACCCCGCCTACCTTCCCACTAGGGCTGCGACGGGTCTAAATTTTCTACCCGGGTACCCCACCACGTATTACCCTACCCTAACCGGATAAATGGTATGTTAGTTCCTGACATCAAATTTGTAAAAAAGGACAATATTTCTTCAGCTCGGAGTCTAAAATTTTGAGTTTTTCAATATCTTAATCATGTATTATATTCAAAACAGGTGACTGTAAATAATGTCAAAGACAATACAACCTATAATCATGAAAGAATAACATATTATATTGTTTAATTTATTAGTCACATGATCATAACGGGTCCGGGTATTGAGACGGGTACCCAGGTCCAACATATTACCCACCGTGGTATCCGAGGCGGGCCCTACCCCACCCCATTACATTGGTCCAACATCATCCTGGTACCCAACTCATTACCCGTCCCAGGTATCCGGGTTACCCGTCCCAGCCCTACTTCCCACCCCATTACATTGTTTAATTTATTAGTCACATGATCATAACGGGTCCGGGTATTGAGATGGGTACCCGGGTCCAACTCATTACACACCCGTCCCAGCCCTACTTCCCACCCCTTTACATTGTTTAATTTATTAGTCACATGATCATAACGGGTCCGGGTATTGAGACGGGTACCCGGGTCCAACTCATTACACACCTGTCCCAGCCCTATCCCACCCCTTTACATTGTCCCAGCCCTACTTCCCACCCCATTACATTGTTTAATTTATTAGTCACATGATCATAACGGGTCCGGGTATTGAGACGGGTACCCGGGTCCAACTCATTACCCACCCATCCAAAGGTATCCGGGTTACCCATCCCAGCCCTACTTCCCACCCCATGTAATTTGACTGTATAGAGTGATGTAAAATCAATTTGAAAGGGTATTGTACAACCTGGCAGAGTCTGTTGTTGTGTTGTGGATGTATTGCCGCTGCTAGGGGTCTCAGTCGTCCCCTCCCCACCACCCAGTAGGGGGGATATGTGGTTGAGGGACACTTGCTCTATGAAGGAAGTCCCATATTTCTTGAAGTACCACCACTCAAATATCTGAAAGAAGAGAAAAAATATTTCAACAAACTATATCACTGAAACCGATTATATGCCGAGGTCCGGAAGAAGCTGGGAAATGATCTGAACTGACAATTCCCTAGTTTCAACAACAGAACTGTATGCAGGGGTGGAAATAACTTTAAATTGCTAGTGTACTCGAGGTACAGTGGCACATGTAAAATCACTTGCCCTGATCATTTTTCCACTACACCAGACTTTTTCTTGTTGATTTTTTAAATAAACAACATAATTAACATTGGAAAGTCAACTGGACACCAGTACAGTGTGATATACAAATTTGCTTGCCCGACAGAAAAAAACACTGGACTTGGACGTCGGGCAATGGGTTATTTCCACCCCTGGCATGTTCTTATAGATCACTTCTGCATGCTCCATAACAGAACTGTCCCAATCCCGCTACAGCTTCCAGCTGCCCTAACATGGCCAGAGCGATAGCATAGTGATTTAGTTGGGTTTTACACATATAAGCAGCTTATCTGAAGCTTTGGAAACATTTTTCTTTCAGAAATAGAGTTTTATTTGTTCTTTTTTCATCGTTTCCATCAGCTTTGGAAAGTACCAGTCCCAAGGACTAGCAATAACTAAAATTACCAGGCACTCAAAAGTTTTGTCAGTCAATAGTACATTGCTTCAGGGTCACATTCAGGTTTTTGTGTTGTAGCCATTAAAAATCACTCAACCAAATGTCTCTTATTTCTACGTTCATAACAGTTTCCGACTTTATGGTGCACTTAAAACCCTTGCCACTCATTCTATGAATTTTCTGATTCATCATTTTGGACTTTGGTTTCACTTGAGTTCCTCAAGTTGCATCCGAAAAAAATTTGAAGTTTTTTCTGCTTCACAACCATTGCTAGATGTAAACTGGAAATGTTGTACACTTTGGTTAGAGGCTATGTGGCTAAAAATAGAACATGGAAACCCATTGTTAAACAAAAGGCCAGCAGCAAACATCATTGACAAACTGGATATTTTGTAATCGTTTCGAATGTCAGTTGATGTGTGAAAGATATGTTTCCAGATGGTCTCTGGGATGCACAGTCACACTGATTACTGGTCAATGGTTAATTGTACCGGTACAAGTGAACACTGCTTTTATAAAATGGAAGTAATACAAGGTTCTAGATGGAGCTCTAGATATCCTATGATGCAAACTAGGGCTGTAACAATGCATCGAACTATCGATGGATCGCAATTGTTGAGTCTCCGATAGCAATCAATGGATGGTAGAAACAAAAAACTATCGATGCATCGATAGTATGCGTGACTATCGACAGTTTAGTAATTGACTTCCGTTGATACATGTACCAGCAGGAAGTGGAAGTACCAGATTCGTTCACTTTGATTTAGAGTTCTCCAACCCTGTTACCTCTTAAATAAACTTGATCTGGGTTTCAAGTTTTTTTGTCAGTTATTATGAGAGACTGAAACTACTTCAGCTGTATTTTATTTCATATAAACTATACATTTATTTGGGAACTGACCTAAAAAGAGACAATTCACAGAGAAAAAACCCTATTGCAATAGTTGGCCGCAATAGGCTATCGCTGTCGCAATAGTTGTTTCCCCCTCAATAGTCAGCCCTAATGCAAACACTTCCCCAAGTTGACCATTGTGATGTTTTCATGTCCACTGATGTATAATCTGTTTAGTGTCATATCTTGACACACATTGAAGATTTCGTCTACTGTATAAAATGAAAGACTGACTGACTGAGTTTAGTTTTACGCCACTTTTAGCAATATTCCAGCAATATCACGGCGGGGAACTCCAGAAATGGGCTTCACACATTGTGCCCATGTGGGGAATCGAACCAGGGTCTTCGGCGTGACGTGTCAACGCTTTAACCACTAGGCTACCCCACCACCCCATAAAATGAAAGAGCATTACACCATATATACTACTTAAGAGAGTTAACCAACACCCGATTCTTTCATAGTTAAGCTGCCACATGTGTTCCTCAATTTCTTTTGAGTAGCATACATCAAGCATTCAATACCAGAACAGATCTTAACTCATTGCATGTCTGAGGAACATGAGTAGGTGATTCTGTTGGGTTTCTTGCACGCTTATACCACATGTATTCACAACGGAGATGATTCATAATTCATAAAAGATATACCTCCTTTCTCGAATATACCTTTTTTCACATAATACAATCACAAAGTCCTGACATTTCATCACGGATGGCGTCAGAGACAACTTCACGTACAGCACTGACATCAGAGACTGGCGCAATACAACAACTGATCCATAATCGAATAAAGAACCAATGAAAATTCAATGATGATCCCTGTTTACCACAGCCTCGCTAATGGTTGGAATGTGAAAATCACTTCCACATATCGTGAAACATCAGCTCTCCACTACATGGGTCTTGTCAGTCATATCAAACTGCTTCTACAGTAACAGTGGGTATTGGTGGAAGTTGCATAATCTTTGAAGATTAAGCATATGAAAATTCTCAGAACATTCATCTTAATGATGGACTGAATTGTTACCCTTTAACCCTTTCATCAATATAACCCCCCAAAAAGATGCAGATCCTGATAAACAAAGGGAGATAACTACTGTCATCATTATGACATGCAGAGTGAGTCCAGGAGACCATTAAACATACATCAAATCATAAGTGCTACAACACTTGTTGAGCGTTACTATTCCAGCATAGAGCTGATACAGACAATACTTCACGAGTGATGAGGAAAGACAGATTATCTGTCCTTCCTAGCCACAAGCAGTTTATGTTTTTATTACCAATCATGAAATTTAAACAGAAGAAGCTTGAAGGATTCTTAGATTCAGCCTTTATGTGAGAGGCAAAGACACAATTTGTCATTTCTTTATGTGTGTGAAATGACACCTAATTTCACTGAAGCACTGTCCAACTATATGATGAATCTATGATAGTCGTGTAGTTCAATTGAAACGCATCTATTTCTCAGAATATGAAACAAAATATTCCAACATTAAGGATTAAGAATCACTTCAGTTTCATTTATTATCAACATTCAGTATTTCAAAATAATACAGATTACAGAGTGGAAATGGTGAAAATCTAGCAATTTCAACAATGCCAACTCCAAGTAATGGTATAAAATGATTCTACAACAAATGAAGGTTTATTCAAGGAGCAATTTTATGTAACCTTTTTTTAAGAAATCTTATGAATTTATGTTTAGTGTGCATCAAAAGTGTTAATAACAAGTGCAAAAGAACATTTGTAATATGAAATAAATAAAAATGTATTCAGTATAATGTTTGACGTACATGTGAAGCCTTGTCTGTGTGTAGTTTGATTGTGGGAAATAAATGAATGAACCTTGTGAATGAAGGAGTTACAGAAAGCTGAATAGCCAATTCTGGTTTTCTTTGCACAATTCTGATTCAATATAGAACAAACTTTATGGATAACAACTTGTGCTTGACAACGGTACAAGAATCTGTATCGAAACGTCACACTCACGAATAAAAACAAGTTGTTATCCATAAAGTTTGTTCTATATTGTACTTCCAAACTTCTAAAATGCCACTCAAAGAAGTTAATTCTGATTCACTTTAACACCAACATGAAACAAGCGCTACATGATCACGGGTTAATTAAATATACATAGACATTTAGCACATGATGATTCTATACAATTTCCATATTTTATGATATAGAATACTTACAGACATTCAAGAAGTATTATTACAGTTTAGACTCCATCTACTGAATAAATTAATAAATATATATGATAAATGACATAAATTGAATAAAATGATCAAATAATTACACAAAAACGTCTGTTCAAAAGGCATCCCCGTTAATTGTCCTATTACTTAAACCTGATGTATCTTCTAAATATAAATAACAAGACCAAACACAACCCTCCACCAATCACCGTCCTTTTTCCCGATCCTAAAACCCTCAATGGCTTAATCATGGCTAATTGTCCCTTTTTACAATCAGTATAAATTCTTAATGACGTCCCCACTATTAGGTGCTGTCACAAAACGAGCTTTTAGAAATCTCGGCTGTTTGGTGAACTCTGAGGCCAAGTTATACACAGACGGCCATTCTGGTTCATGTGCCATCACTCTCCCTGCACTGCTCGTTCATACATCCGTCTGGCGTCGGGGCCGAAAAATCAATACACGATTTGAAGAGGCAACAGTACAGGCCAGAAATAGCCTGGCACTGTGTTTGGTATTTAGCCAACAATTCAGTATTCCATACATGCTTCCTTGTAATGAGGGAATGCTTCATGGTGATATCTGCCATTATTAAAACTGACCCCGTGATATCATGGAGGCATTATGCGATGACACCGGGCCATCCTTGGCTTGTCTAGGAGATCCGCGTCTTTTATTGCTACCTTGGTGGAGCAATGGATGCAATAGGCTTTTGCTTTGTACACAGATAATAATCTTGAACTATGCAGGTCATGTTTGGGGATTTGCTGCTTCAGATTCAGAAGCTGTTATTGAACATGATGCCATTTACGAGAATGTTTGAAACTGAACAATTAAAGACATATACAGCACACAAAAAGGATCTGTCCATGAATAAACCACCTAAACAGTTACTTTGGTGTCTGTAAATGCTAATGTCATATATATGTGCAGCAGTGGTAGAAATACAAGACATTAGGAAAAATGTCACTTGCGACATAATAAATGATTGATGTTCAAAATCTTTACTTTCCACATTTTGGTAATAACATGGAACCTTTGACCCTTGACCTCATAACGTGGTTTGGTTATAAAAGGAAATAAAAACACATCAAAGACAACATAATAGGCCGAGCAAGCTAAGAACAGAATCTCCGAGAAAGTTAAAAAATGGCAAAGTGATGCAGGTAATGGAGTATTTGACAATGATTCCTTGTTACAGCCCAATCAAGTTCTTGGTGACATGACAAAATTCTGCAATAATACATTTTTTATTAAATTTTTGTCTAAGTGTTCCTAACAGCTTTTATGCTTTTTGGGTT